AATTTTTAAATCTGTATATTTTTTGAATAAGTAACACGTTCTCATGGTGCAAAATTCAAAAGGTACAAAAAGCCATCCACAGTGAAGTTTCCCTCCCAGGTCTGTTCGTTAGTCAATGAGTGTCCTTCCCGGGAAGAAACCACATCTCATGTGACCACATATTTGAATGTCTCTCTTGTCCTGGACTTTTACTTTTTTGGGAGGTTTCTCGTGTGTTCTCCATAAGCAACATGCGTTTCCGCCTGCCCCTCCCTCAGCTCCCAGTACCTGGCTGAGGGCATTGGACAGCCACCTGGCGAGTGTTGTGGTTCAGCTGACAGCTTGTCTGGAATACAAGAATACCTGATGAGTCAGGGCTGAGAGCATCTCTGTTTGGTGGTGAATTACCTGCATTTTCATTCACTTAGGTTCCTGCTCTTCTAAGATAAGCCAAGAAGTGCTGATGGTCACATGGGGCTCACTCCCGCCGGCTTCCTTCCCTGAACCATCGCTTCCATGTGTGTGGCTGCCAGTTCAGGATGGTTTGGGGCTCACTCACGCATTTTTCAGTTGTGCAAGAAATGTCAGCATTTTCCAATACTTTTTTGGCCTCTCCGATTGTTTTTCTCTTTTGGCTTCTGCAAGGAAAAATCCTTATCCCTGCCTCATCTCTGCTTCACCCCCGCCCTCACCCCTGTCCCTGGCTCCACCAACATACACCCACTTGCACTTTGGGCCTCCTTCCACCCTTCTTTTCCAGGAACCCCTGGATAGGAGAAAAACACTGCAAGGAAGAATCCTGTCTTCCCTGGACAGGACTGTCTGTTTGCTTTTTTTTAAAAAAAATATTTCTTTATTGATTGCAAAGAGAATGGAAGAGGGGGAGAGAGAGAGAAACATCAATGATGAGGATCATTGATCGGCTGCTTCCAGCAGATCCTCTACTGCAACCCAGGCATGTGCCCTTGGCCGGAATCGAACCTGGGAACCTTCAGTCCACAGGCCAACGCTCTAGCCACTGAGCCAAACCAGCTAGGGCTGTCTGTTTGCTTTTGCTCAGGGTTGCTTCTAGGTGTGCAGAGTTCTATGGATTCTTATTTTCTGCCCTCCTCTTAAGGCAATCTCCCCTGGCCATTGTGGACAGTTTACCGGCGTGTCCGCCACTTCCCATGCACTCTGGGGCCCTGAGTGCTGGGGACCAGGGGCCTGTGAGAAACTTCCCTCCGGCTTCCTCCCTCCTCTGGATGCTTCACCAGCGGTCAGTCAAGTGGCAGCCCCCGCAGCCATCCGGGTGCCAGGGGCCAGTGATTAAGTAGCCAGGTCTTGAGCTGACTCCATCCTGGGTTGTCATAACTTGGCTGCAAGTTATTTTGGTCTCCGTGACTTGTGGCTGCACCATGATTTCAGTTTGATATCTATCACCAAAGTGACTAAAAGATGAAAATAGAAGCCACAACAGGAAATAAACAACTGCACATGAGATATTTTATTCCATATTCCCTGCCAGCAGATGATTAGAATCAAACTCATTCACAATAGTTTGGTGAACTTCTAAACTTTTTTTTTTCTTTCTTCCTTTTAAACGATCAGAATAGTTTGAAACAGGGTGCTTGTCGGTCTCATTTAGGCCCGTGGAAAGGAAAGGAACTCCCTTTCTAGGCACCCCAGCCAGCCAGGAGTTCTCTGCGCCCCAGCTTCTTTCTTGGAAAGGAAAGGAGTAAGAATGTGACTGGGTGGGGCCCGCTCTCAGGAAGCCTCAGGATGTTAACCGATTCAGGGAATGCCAGGGCGCCAATAAAGCAGCACCAGCATTGTAGCTACTTGCCCAGCATCCCACCCATCATCTACTTAGGGCAGTAAAATGGAGGAGGAAAGCCGCGTGGAGAGGGCAAGAGAGGGGTGACGCCTGAATTAAAACACCCACAATTACACTGTATGGGAACATATCTCTGCAAGTATATGCATGTTCCACCCAGACAAGCTGTGACGTCAGATTCCACTGAAACACCCACTACCCCTCCCTGCCCTGTGTGTGCCTGGCCTCTCCTTACAGAGTGTTAGCACCATTGGCCAGATTTCCAAACGTTCAGATTCTCCACAATCCGAAGCTTACTTTGAGTGATGACATTTGCTTTTCGGTTTAAGTCCTTTCTGTCACTTCGAGAGCCTTGCCTTGCCTCTCTTGAAGAGTGAAGATCTTCTAGGGAGGCCCGAGCAGAGAGAGAAATGGGACCCCGAGAGCAGGAACCTTGCCCAGAAAGCTTCTAAAACCCTGCCAACTGCTCTCCTGATGTGAGGATCACCACCAGTGCAAGTTATTTAACCAGTGAGTGGCAGGGCCCTAGCCAGGAATCAGGTTTTCTGACTTCCAATCTGGTATTTTTTCCTCAGCGTTTCTAAGGTTATACATTTCTCAGACACCTCGAAAATCTCATGTCTGTCTCTTCTGTCTTTCCCGGCCTATGCTGACGGGATCACCCACATCTAAACCTTTCCCTCATCCATTTTTCTGTTTTTCTCCTGGGCTTTCCAGGCTGCTACCTTGGCAGGTTGCTTCTTTAGAAAGTTACACACACACACAGAGTGTCTTTTCAAGAAGCAATATTTTTATTACAAAATTATGAACTTATACAAGTGCAGCCTATGTGGCCTTACAAAGTAATGTATACACCGAATGGCCAGATTATTATGACCACCCCATCTGTATTTCATTGACACCTGCAAAAATACTGAATATTGAAAACTTCCTAAGCAAATACTCAAGGTTTTATTATTATTATTATTTGCATAACTAATTCACTTCATTGTACTGATGGGGTGGTCATAATAATCTGGCCACTCAGTGTAGAATGCCAGCGTCTTTCCCATGCTACAGTGTTTCTGCACTTGTCATCTCCAGGTAGTCGGGACCCCCTTGCTTGGAGATGATTATGTAATCAGTGTTCCTGATTTTCTCTCATATTTATATCTCCAAAGGTGCTTTAGGTGGGTTTGGGGTGAGGTCCAAATGGCGCTTTAAGTCCTATCCACTATGTTGATTCCTATATGTTTATTGAGCATCTATTGCATGTCAGACATCTGTAAATTGTTGGAGGAGAGTGGGGCTGAGCTATAACGCAAAGAGTCATTTGTGCTTTTTCCTTTTATGAATGTGTAATTTAGCTGGAAAAATGGAAATAGTACATCTCACCTTTTCTAAAGATCCCTTCAACTCCCCAATCAGTTTCATTGTCCTCCTGATCTCACAATTCTAAATGACATGAAAAAAAAATCGTATTTCATGAAATAAGATGTGAGGTTAGATCACCATGCCAACTAGTGGCCTCGTTAATACCGATGCCTATATATTTAAATCAGTACGTTTCGCAGTACCATCTGCTTTCACAAACTAAACGCTTCTGGTCCTCTGCCCTACCAATGTTTTACCCGTTTCCATGCAGTCGTCTGTCAGCGGGTCTAGGCTTCCTCCAGATCTGGAGTCAGGGGATAAACTCTCTGACCCTAAGCACCTTGAAAGCTACCGGGCCAAAGAGGGCGCAGAAACAGCCCGCATGCATATGCATGTCCTGGGCAGGTCTGCTCCAAAGGTAACCTTCCCGCGCCGGGAGGCGGGGTGACTGAGGTCTTCCGGGCTCCAGAGGAAACCTGGCGGCGGCGGGCGTGCGAGCCCCTCCCGCTCCCCTTCTCTCGCCTGGATGCTGCCCCTCGCAGCTCGTCAAGCAGCCAAATGCATTCCAGAGCTGCGCACAAGACACACTTCTCCAGGCAGTCCTAGAAACCCGAGCTCGGAGCGGGAGAGGGCGGGAGGAGCGCGCGCCCCCCCCTGAGGTCACCCGCCGCCTCCCCGCCCTCGGCGGCCCGGCTGTTCCCTCCAGCGCACACCTCCCAGGGCCTCGGTCCAGTCCAGTGTAAATGTCTTTTAAACCGAGACAGCGCTCTCCTCCCCCTTCCCTCCCGCGCGGCCAAGGGATCTGCCGCCAGGGCCTTTAAAACAAAACGAATGAATGAAGCGCTAGGGCAAGCGCGCGGGACAGCCACGGCGAAGCTCCCCGGGCTGGGTCTCCATCGGGCCACCGACCGGCTCGTTCTGCTCCAAAACTCGTCTGCGAAGCCCGCTGGGTGCCCTCGGGGCTTCCCATTTCTCCTCTGATCCGGCCAGATCTCAGTCGACTCTGGGAGCTTCTTTGCTCCCCACCTTTATTCGCACCCCCCACCAAGGTTCCCCTCTCTGCAAACCCCGGAGCGGGTGGCGGTGGCGGTGGCAGGGGGCGGGGGGAAGAAATAGCTTTTAGAAACCCGATCTGTTGTTTGCGAAACACAATCGCTTTTTTTTTTTTAAAGCGACAGGGTGTCTAGACGGCCACGTGACGAGGCCGGAGCCGGGCGCGCCACTGCGCAGTGGAACCAGCAGAGCAGAGGGCCCGCGGGGGGTGGGG